CACAGCAGACAGAGACAACAAGAGAAGTCCTGAAGCAATGGTCAGTTTTATTTCAGGACACCTACACAGATACCTAAGAGACTGAATGTTAAAGTTAGCACTTTGATTTTAGGGAACTCCTCAGAGATTCTGTTGTTACAGGCTCCCATTATTTATTTGTATCTGTAAACAATCTTGAAATTCATCTCAGTAGTTCCTATCTGTTTGCTCCAGGCTTTGCTGGTATGGTTGCCTAATAATCTCATGCAGTACAGCTGGGACAACTCAGACTAAAAATTAACTGTTTAATTATTTATTTAATTAACTGTTAATTTATAGTCTGCTTACACCAGTTACAAAGCATCACATCATAGCTTCATCCTCCAGAAATGTATTCTGCTTTAGCAAGGTAGACTTAAGAGTTGGTTCCCTGAGGATATATGGACTTCAGCTTAGAGCTGTGTTTGAATGGCTCTCTCATTCTTGGATATTAAATTCTTATTTAATATTTCATATTAAATTCCATCTATAAATTGTAGTCTATCTCTATATTCTACAAAAGCTTTTCTGAGCCACAAACTCTTCCCTTCAAGTCCTACATTTTGTTTTTGAAACCATTAACTTACACTTAATGCTTTTTGTTGTGGTTGTTGTTGTTGTTTTGAGACAGCGTTTCTCAGTTGCTATGGAGTCTGTCCTGGAACTCACTCTGGAGACCAGGCTGGCTTCAAACTCAGAGATCCGCCTGCCTCTGCCTCCCGAGTGCTGCGATTAAAGGTGTGCACCACTACCGAAGGGCACAGGCAACATTTTTTTTATTTGTCTTAGATCATAAAAAACTTAATTCATTAAGGCCTGATATTTTATGTTACTATTTTACTATTCCATGATGCTGTATGACATTTTGTACTAAGGAGTTCAGTAAATAGGCATGGGATTGTCAGGGTTTTATTTTAATAGAAATTCTGACAATGCTGGAGTGTTATTTAAAAAGGCTTAAGCTGCTTGCTGGTCAATCCACTCAGTAATTCTTTCCCTATCAGGCAGAATGAGGCTGCCTTTTCTTCAGGGCTCGCAGCCTTAATTCATTTAATGCTGCTTTGAAGATGGACAGTAAGGTTGCCATCCATTCACTTATCAGGTTCATTTCTGAAGGCATTTGATCTTGTCTTGGTGCCACAGACAGTGTTAACTAGTTCAACACACCATTATCATCCCTCTGTGCCATGGAGACCACTGACATGCACATTGGAAGGCAGCAGGTATATACCTCACGGATAAGAAAACTGGCAGAGAGGAGATGCAGATACAAACATGTGGTGGAAGTACTGAAATATGACTACTGTCCTGGGATGTGGCCTGGGCAAGCAGCTATCAGTAGGTCTCAGTTATTTGCTGCTCCACAGATAGATACCTGACCACAGAGCTATGTAGAAAGGAAAACATGATGACCCCAACTCTATTTCTGAAGTCCATTGGTTTAAGTAAGATTGCAATAAAAACAAGGTCTCTCAAGACATTCTAATATAAATCTAGGCCTGATGAAGAGCTGGTGTACCAAAGTCCATTTAAATTAATTTTTTTTTTTAAAAGAAAAGTACATGGCATTCACATTTTGATGCTCTACTAAGCTGAGCTGTGTTTCTGAGGAAAGCAGACATACCTTGAGAGAGCGAATGGAGTCGTCAGCCAGACCAATCACATTAACATAGAGGAGGTTGCTGTGCTTCAGGAACAGAACACAGTGGTCCTTAAACATGTCCAAGTCTACAACCTTGGTATTTCTCTTCATTGTGAAGAATAAATCCCAATTCATAATAGCTGGGGCATCGGCTGCTGTTCGCATCAGCTGTAGGAACAGGGTTAGAAGAGATCTAGGCACTAAGGCTGTAGTGTTCAGGGATGGAATCACACTAGTTGTCACAATTAAGTCTGTACTGGAGACAAAGTAGGAATGTCACCATTTTAGCCCAGGTTGGCATGCTGGTGAGACAGTGTGGTGCCATGCTTAGCCAACAGTCAATGAGTGGACAAAGGATGCATTGGTTTGCCTGCCTGAGACTAATCCAACTTCCAACTCACAACCAGGAGTTAAACTGTGCTCCTTTGAGCCAACCACGTTGGGCTTTCACAACACAAACAGTACAGATGTTTCATTTACTGAGGTTCTATATACAAGTATAGAAGGTAGACATGTCTTCTCTAAGGGAAGAGAAATGGGACTGATAATGTACAGGAAGGCAGTGTCAATCACACACTTTAAACCCCTCCCCCATTCTCTCGTGGAGCAAGGAAGGTTGGTGAGGGAAAGCCAGCACTTTTACCAACCCATCCTAAGGAGCAGGCAGAATGGAGAACTACCTTGAATTCTGTAGGTTCTCCAACATTAGTGAGGATGTATAATTCATCATCTCGATGTTCGACATAGTAAAGTACCCCATGTATTCTCTTCTGAATCAGTACTGGTGGGTCCCAAGGGCTCAGGCCATCTATCAACCACACCTCAGAAGTCGTCTTGTTCATAATATTTAGGGTGAGGAAACGACTATCTTTTGTAAGATAAAGGAAAACAAAATAGCTAGAAAGGGGAAAAAAAGCACAGGATTTCATTAAGTTATTGCTGTACTGGATGCAAACACGGGATCTGAACTATTACTGGATATGTGAGAGGTGGGCCTGCGATGACTTGACTATTAAACCCCCCCCCTCTCTCTCTCTCTCTCTCTATATATATATATATATATATATATATATATATATGTTTATGATATGTTTAGAAGTAGGAATGATAACTGGAAGACACTTGAAATCAATGCGTCATTTGGAATGGATGTCACTATCCAATCCTTAAGCATCTCATGTGAAATGTTATAAAATACTAAAAACTGAACAAGAAATGTTTTTGGAGGGCTAGATGGATGACTCAGCAGTTAAGAGCACTGGCCACTCTTCACTCTTCTGGGTTCAATTCCCAGAACCTACATGATTGCTCACAACCATATGAAAGTCCAGTTCTAGGGGATCCAATGTCCTTTCTTGGCCTCTGTTGGTGCTGAGTATGTATGTGCTACACAGACACACATGCAGGCATAATTGCCTATACAATAAAATAAAATTTAAGAAATAAAGAAATGGGGGCTGGAGAGATGGCTCAGAGGTTAAGAGCACTGGCTGGTCTTCCAGAGGTCCTGAGTTCAATTCCCAGCAACCACATGGTGGCTCACAACCATCTGTAATGAGATCTGGTTCCCATTTCTGGCATGCAGGGATACATGCAGACAGAACATACATAATCAATAAATACATCTTTAAAAAGAAATAAAGAAATGGTTTATACAAGATCAATCTTACAAGCATCTGTGAAGCAATACTAGAACCCCTCAAAGGTGGAGGAGGAGTTACTCATGGCTAAGTCTTTGCAAGTGAAATAGGGTTACTCTTAGCTAGTGCTTTTTCTTTCTTCTGTTTTGTTTTCTTTTGAGGTTTTGAGACAGGGTCTCACTATTTTCTCTGGCTGTCCTAGAACTTAATATGTAGACTAGGCTGGCCATGGACTCACAGAGTTCTGTCTGCCTCTGCCTCCCAAGTGCTGGGATTAAAAGCATGAGCTACCACCACCTGGTTCTACCTCTCTTTCTTATTGGAAGAGTTAGGCTCTAACATTAAAGAGAAGCAATGGGTGAAGGGCTTAAGAGCTGCCTATTTTGCTGTTTAATTCCCATAAATCTTTAACTGTCTGGGTAAGATTTCACTAACTTGTAAAACGTTACATATGAACAACTAGAATTCCTCTGGGAATCTCTAAGATGTCAAGCAATTGGTATGAGTAGCATAGTATGATGTACTTAATACAATCATGGTTACTGGGCATGTTTCACTGGATCTTTTGGTTTGGATTTTCCTTGCTTTTAAAAATTCAGTCCTGTTCTTGGTGAATAGTATTTCTGCCAGGAAAAAAAAAAGTATGTAAGTGTGTGTGTGTGTGTGTGTGTGTGTGTGTGTGTGTGTATGGGATGCTGGGGAGGGATGGTTGTTGACTATTCGGTGACTTAAAAATTAATTTAGCATCGATCTTTCCTTTAAGAACTTACACAATGCAATTTTCATTACAATATATGGATTTTATGCTCTAGAAATAGAAATACTTGAAGACAAAGAGCCAATATTTAAAAAGTACTGATCTTTAAGAATATATTAGCAGGCACTTTCCTGAACATGGATTTAAGAGACATTCTACCATCAGAATGAAAAATTGTTTTTAAATAATCAACAACGAAAACCTTGGCTGATGTGAGCTCTTTATGGCCACATTTATAACTTTTTCATAATTACTATACCAAATTGATAGACTTAGGCAAACTCTACACATTAGTTCTAGAAGGTATAATAATAAAATAATAATTTTATTCTGTTCTCAACAATTTGAGACAACAAGCTCATTACGTTAGATAATGGGGAACTATGAGGGTAACCACAGCGTTCTAGCACCTTGGGTCTTTCTCTGTGTAGAAACGCTCATTACGTCTGTTTTCACCAAATGTGGCTCGATATACGTCATGGCATCGAAGGTTCCTCTGGAAGGTGTAGAATAAGACATCTTCATCTTCTTCATCCTTCACCCATTCTTAAAGGAAGGAAGGAAAGGGATTAGACACAGCTACCAGCTTATTGTTCTTAAAAAGGTGTAGTACTCAAAGGTTGACTGCCAAGTGAAGAAATGTGTAAGTTTATCCCTGGGAATCTACATATAGCATAAACCCGACTGATCAAACCTGTGTGTATTTATAAGCCAGAGATTATAAATAAAACACCTCTACACTGTTGTAAGTTTCCCATTTCTTAGTCTTAGTCTACTCAAGCACCTAAATAAGAACTCATGCTCAGTGTTAAAGATACTGGTAAAGTCACATTTGCTTTTTGGGAGATGGCTGCTTAGTTGAAGAAACACTTTCTCTCCCACTGTGTTCAATGTTTGCTTCCAGGTAACAGGTCAGCTCAAGCTATCAAATGCATTAAGAAAAAAAAAAAAAAAGGTTTTAGTTAAATACATCATTCTGCCTGCATGTATTCCTGTGACCAGATCTCATTACAGATGGTTGTGAACTATCAGCTGGTTGCTGGGAATTGAACTCAGGTCCCCAGGAAGAGCAGCCAGTGCTCTTAACCTCTGAGCCATCTCTCCAGTCCCACCAAATGCATTTTAACTGGGTCCTTCCTTTCCCCAGAACCTGTCCATGGAGATTTGTACACAGTTACACCATGACTGCCACCTGGCTGACAGTCACTGTAAGTCATTACTGTATGATATGAGCTCTGATCTCAGACCTTTGATGCACAAATGTATTTCTTCACTATGCAGGGGCTGGGAGAGACGTGGTACCTGAACTTGAACCTCTAGCACTCACACAGAAAGCTGTGCATGGCTATGCATGCCTGTAACCCCAGGTAAAAATCTGTGCATGGCTGTACATGCCTGTAACCCCAAGAATTGGGCTGGGGGGGGGTAAGGCAGATGGTGAGAGATGGATCACAAGGGCTTAGCCAAAATGGGGAGCTCTTGGCTCAGTGATAGATCTTGTCTCAAAGCACTAAGGCAGGGGAAGATGCCAATGTCTTATTCTGGCCATCACATGAGCAAGCATGTGATGGGGAGGTCCTTCTGTATATGTGTTTCTCTTATTGGTTGATGAATAAAACACTGTTTTGCCAATGAGGCAGGAAGTATAGGCGGGGCTATTAGAGGAAGGAGTGAGGAGAGAGAGAGAGAGAGAGAGAGAGAGAGAGAGAGAGAGAGAGAGAGGGTGAGAAGGAGACGCCGTGTAGCTGAGAAGGAGTAACAGGTCTGGACCCTTCTCCAGTAAGATAAGACCAGGTGGAAATACTTAGATTAATAGAAATGGGTTAATAATTAAGAGAGAGCTAGCCAGTAAGAAGCCCTAGCCATTGGCCAATAGTTTTATAATTAATATAGTGTCTGTGTGTTTATTTGGGGCAAATTGGCAGCAGGACCTAGTGGGACAGAAACCTCCATCTTCAAGCATGGGCACCTACACCTTCACACTCACATGTGTGCAACATAGATGCAGGCACACAGACAGACACAGACATAGATACACAGACTCATAGAGTGGGAGAGGGGGGAGGGACAGAGAGAGAGAGAGAGAGAGAGAGAGAGAGAGAGAGAGAGAGAGAGAGAGAGAAAGAGGATGACTCACACATACAAGAGAATGCATTAGGTAGAATATCATTTCAATTCATTACAAAAGCATCTAATTAAACAATTCAGAAAACAATGGCAATGTAAACGGGAGACAAAGTGTGAACATGTTCAAGATGACAAATGATAAAATTTAAAGTTAGATCCTACTACTAAAAATGTTGGTTTCCATTGACGTCAGCTCAACATGTTCCAGTTTCTAGGGGTGACTCTGAGACATGTGCTATAATAGATCTCCATGTTAATGTAATAAAAATAAATCAAGTTTAAATCTGAATAAAACATTAAGCAGCAGCATCGGCAATACTTTATTAGTCTTCATAATAAACTGGCCAAGGACAACTATGTAACAGAATATTCATGTGGGACTTATATTAGTAGTGTCTTAGAAACATGAAACACTACTTTATTTTTATTTAAAATGTGTTTTATTTATTTATTTGACTTATCAGTGAGTGTATGAAGTGTGTGTGAATATGAGTGCAGGTGGGTCATGGTCCAGGTATGAAGGTCAGAGGACAACTTTCAGGCACTGTCTGTCTCCTTTCACCATGGGTTCTAGGGTTGAACTCCAGCCAGGCTATGTGGTGAGTGCTTTTACACACAAAGCCTCTTGTCAGTTCATGCAGTATTTATTTTTAAATTTTTGTTTATGTTTAAGTATGTGTGTCTCCCATGTGGTGCCTGTTGGATCTTCCAAGAGTTAAGAGTTACAGGTAGCTGTGGGTTGTCCAGCACAGGCACTGAAAACTGACCATGGGTCCTCTACGAGAGTAATATACGTGCTCTTCGTATACTGAGCCATCTCTCCAGTCCCCCACAACCACAATTTTAAAGTGAACCACTCAGCTAATTAAAGGAGGGAACATTTCATAACAGGAGGTTCATAGGAAGATGTGCAGTCCATAGAGAAATGGACCTGATCATCACCACCTCCTTCCCTACTGCGGGCTAATGACTTTCAGAGGTGCGAGGAGCTTGCTATGGCACTGCCTTTTCCAGGGGCTTGACATGGTGGCTTACCAAAACTGGACACATTTGGGAAAGAAGCTTCCATCACAGGCTGATCACTGAGCTTCACAACTATGAGGGTGGATGTTTCCGAATCCTCCGTCCTTATCTTGGCAGCCACGTATTTCTCATCAGGGGCAACTCTGATACAGTCAATGAAGGGCTGCTCCAACTTCAGTTCCTCCAGGTTGAATAGAACTTCATAATTATCGCTGTCGGCTGCATAAAGGAAAGTGGGGAAAAGAGAACTCCACAACACATACTTGTAGATAATTTCAAACTGTATCTTAATGTCTTAAGTTAACATTCTGAGGTCATATACTGATGTCCTTCTACAATAGTTATCTAAAAATATTTTGTTCAATATTATTCTATGTATTTACCCTTGAGCTACTGTGATAGTCCAGTACAATGGTTCTCAACCTTCCATATGCTGCAACCCTTTAATATAGTTTCTCATGTGGTGGTGGCCCCCAGGCATAAAGTTATTTCACTGCTAGTCCAGAACTGTAATTTTGGTACTGTTATGAATCATAATGTAAATATTTTTGTAGACAGAAGTTTACCAAAGGGGCTGTGACCCACAGGTTGAGAACTGCTGGTCTAGTATTTACAGATTACAGAATTTACAAAGAGAATACAATTAATACACATAATGTATGCAAGGTGCCAGCACAGCACTGAGACATAGAACATACATGAAACATGCTGGATTCCATGCCCACTCTCTCTGTTGATGCTTCTGAGTGTGGTTATTAATGCTATCTTAAGTCAACCCAGGTACTCAGAATCAATCATTTAAACAATTTAGAAATAATCTTTAAGAAATCCATTCTAATGGCTTCGAGCAACTACTATGAAGCTTCCTCTTAAAGATGCCTAACCTCAAAAGCCTGTTGTCATTAAAGAAAAACTGTGGTTTACCACAAATTACCTTCTTCATCTTTGGAACGGACCAAGCAGCAACCCTCTTGGTAATAAACGAAACTGCCATGCTTAATCTGACAATGAAAAGAAACGTGACTTACTCACAGTAACTTAATTAAAGGTCTCACTACTTCAGATGAAGGGACAAGACTTATCATATCACAAGAGGCAGATTACTGAACTACATGAATGAAATATGAAATGGGCCATTTTACAACAGAGGTAACAAAACTGCTTTCTTACACTCAGAATCATTGTCGATTTCTAATACACAAATGCAAAGGCATAACAAAAATCTATGCTCATTCATCTAATGTCTGTATAGTGAGATGCAATTAATGACATCAAATGGCATCTTTAAGATAATCTAAAATGATACCAGATGAGAAAACTGTTACTAGCTTGAAATGCCAATCAACATTCTGGTGTCCTTTCTTTCAAAATCACTGTCATCAACTATGCAGTACTGACTTGATTTTATACAAAGTATACTGTGGTGTGACAAAGTGAGGTCAAGAGAATAAATATTATACATATATGAATGAACAGGATTCACTCATCATTCATATACATTATTGAATGAACAGGGTTCTTGTCTAACACATCTCAAATGTGAGTGATTGACTAACTTGGTTTCAGGTGGCTTAAGACACATTATGTCTAATGTGGTATACTTGGAATCTGGAATTGTTACTGCTCTTTGTATTTTCCTAGGTATGTGATTTTCACTTATAATCTCTGGCCTGTTTCTCACTCTTACTGAAAAGATTTCCAGTCTCTTTGTTTCATTTATTTCAACTGAGTAGTTATGACTGATAACTGCAAAGTGATTAACTGTATACTCAGCTTTACTACATTACATTTCCTTTTATAAAAATGCAGACACAACATGTAAATTGCTTTTGAAATAAAAAAGCAATGAGTAGTTTTATATGGACCTCTCCTTGGAATCTCTACAAATTTATACTGTTGTTCTTCAACATCTACCAGAATTCATCTATTATACTTCCTGCTTTATCTTAAGTTTTAATTTTAAGGATATTTTGTCTATTGTTTACAGCTGAATATGCTCAGTAGGCTGGAAAGGGTAAACATAACAAGACTGTGATGTGATGTTATGTCCATGAGTTATGGGTAGCTCGTATGCCTCTGATGATGTATATGGTTCTCACAGAAGACACAGCGCAGCTTACCTCGGCATTGATGATTTCGTATTCTTCTTGTGGCTGTGTTTCTAATCTTGTTCTCACTTTTTCAAATGCGTCCATGTTTTCAGAAAGGGATTTTTCGTTTTCTGGCTTAATAGGCAGAAGGTCCTAGGAACATTTTTGGTGGCACGATCAAAATTTTTCAAACTCGAAGTCTCTGCTTCTTATAATGGTTATACTTTTAACACAGGTATTATGTCAGGCATTTATGAAATGTGTTTTTACAAATCTTGTTCTTTCTCGAGCTCATCAAAAGAAAGCAGACACTTGATGCATTATACTAAGTGTATGAGTAGCACCGAGAAGCCCTGGCAACGGCAGAAACACTACATACAGCTAAGGAGGAAAGAAAATGCTTTGAATTTTTACACATTTAACAGAAATGAGAGGTGGGAGAAACCTGCTGATTTCATAAGCACTGAAATACAACCTAAAAGGAGGGAAGTATCAGTAGTTGATAGATGTTGGCTATTAATTTATTCATAGGTCACAAAATTTATTCTACCTTGTTACCACATATTCTTATATTGTTGGGATAAGTAACTCTGCAAATATAGTAGAAATGTTTATCAGATCACAAAGTTAAATAACAGCTTATAAGACAAGGCCCCCCTTCCCCCACAAGACAGGGTTTCTCTGTGTAGCACTGGCTGTCCTGGAACTTGCTCTGTAGACCAGGGTGGCCTGGAACTCAGAGATCCACCTATCTCTGCTTCCAAGTGCTGGGATTAAAGGCGTGTGCCAACACCACCCAAATCCTCCTATCCGTTTAAGAGACAGTTTATTATAAAAAAGGAAGGAAAAGCAATGGAACGTAACAACACAACATTTAGTAGAGATGGAGATGAAACTACATAATCACCCACTGTGCATTATTCAGGGCAGTAAGCTAGGCATTGGGGTGCCTCCTGGTGAGCAGGTAAGAACTAGATGGGTCATCAACACAGGATAAGGCTGAACCTAAAACTGCCATATTAGAAAAACCGTCAATAATTCACACTCTGCTGCTTTGTCTTGTATAAACAAAAGAACTGTAGTCCTGATGCCTGATTCTTCAGCCCTGTGCCAGAGATGACAACTGCACACAGATGGTGCCAGAGGGGCACTGAGCCATGGGTGAGGGCCCCAGCAGCTGATAAACACTTACTGCCTAAGTGTGCTCATGCACTTTGCCAATAACATTGAGAATGCAAGCTACAAATGTAGTTTATTTTGTAAGATGTTTACAACCTGAAAGGAAACACAACAAAACAGAAAACTTTCCGAAACAGGCTAAATGGACAATAATCATTTTCACGAAGTTATTCTTTAAGAATTTTGGGGGGATGCTTTAATAATTAGGATTAGATTTGAAGTAGTCGTCATAGTTGTTATGGTAATCTCAACTTTCAGCATCGACTTTCTTGTAAAAGCTATTGTATATTTATTTATTTAATGTTGGGGCACATGGAGGTTAGAGAACAACTTATGAGAGTCAGTGCTCTCTTTTACTACGTGGGATGGAGCTCAGGGGGCACCTTTGGCAGCAAGCACCTCTACCCACTGAGCCATCTCCTCAGCCCATCAACTTCTACTTCCAATTGTATATCTGATTCTTGAGTAATGATTTTCAGTCAAAATAATGAAGGTTTGTCACACCTATTTTAATTCATGTTTTTGCATTTTTATAATATCTATGGCTGATATTTAGAATAAGGCAAAAAATATATCAGTAATCCTCTACTGTTGCCTAGAAAATCAAATTATAAACTGGAATATCACTAGAAATCTGTCTTGAAGCTCTACCGTAGCATATGAGAAGCTGCTTAACTGAATACTGACTGTCTTGTTGAAAAGTGTTTCTTTTTTTTTAGACAGTCTCGTGAATCTCAGGCTGGCCTTACACTTGCTGTGGAGTGGAAAGTGACCTTAGGCATCTGACCCTCCACCTCTACAGAGCTAGGATTACAGGTGAGGGCTGTCACTCCCAGTCTGTGGCCTGGGAGACCGAGCCGGGGCCCTGTGAATTCTTAGCAGGCACTATCAAATGAGTCCTGTCTTCATTCCCATGCCCACTGGAATCTTAAGAAGTTTCAGCAAAAAGCACCTTCAACCACGTCCCAGCCCAATGTAAAGCCCACTTACACAATGAAATGCATTAACAGTTAACCAGCCAACTTCATTATGGCAAAAACGTTAAACTCTGAAGACAAGAAATTGTGAAGTAGAAAAACACTGAATTGAAGATGAGACTTAGAGCCGGGCATTATTGGCACACGCCTTTAATCCCAGCACTCTGGAGGCAGAGGCAGGTGGATATCTGTAAGTTCGAGGCCAGCCTGGTCTCCAGAGCGAGTGCCAGGTTAGGCTCCAAGCTACACAGAGAAACCCTGTCTCAAAAAACAAAACAAAACAAAACAAAAACAAACAAACAAAAGAAGACGAGACTTGGATAGCCAACTCCAGAGCTTGGGTAGGGAGAGCACAAGGTAGGCTTGGCAAATGTTGTACCACAAAGGAAGTGCGCGAAGGACAACAAAGGCAATGTCGACAGGACACAGGGACAGTGCGAAGGGGCGTCTACTAGCCGTATGTGGGATAATATGAGCATTAAAAAGAATTAACAACTAATTTGTTAAAATACACTGAAAAAGTAAACTCCACAAACAAGCAAATGAAAAACAAACCCCTGGATCAAATACAAATTAAAATTAAGAGAAAAAGATCCTTGAAGAAACCTTTCCTTCCTTCCTTCCTTCCTTCCTTCCTTCCTTCCTTCCTTCCTTCCTTCCTTCCTTCCTTCTTTCCGTCTGTATAGCCCTGGCTGTCTTGGCACTCGCTCTGTAGACCAGGCTGGCCTCGAACTCACAGAGATCCACCTGCCTCTACCTCCTGAGTGCTGGGATTAAAGGCGTGCACCACCACCTCCTATTGAAGACACTTTCCTTTACAGAATAAAACTAGCTAATCAATGCAGGAAGTGTGATAGACTGATCATTTGAAGAGCTCCGGAGAAACAAATAGGGCTGAAATCATCAAGAGAGTTAAACTCACTGGGCAAGAATAATGCACAACATCCACACCACACCACACCACACCAGAGTTTCTGCTTCCTGAAAGAATAGTGTCCCTTTAGCGACAGGGACAACTGGCAGTTTCATATTTTAGCTAAAACAATCATTAACAGTGGGACAAACTGACACTGCAACTCAGTTAGAAAAAACTGAAAAGTAAAGCCCAAGAAGAGAAAAACGAGACAATAAAAAACAAAAAACAAAAAACCCATCCCTAGAAAACTACTACAAAAGACAAATGTATAGTAAAACTAATCAAGGAAGACAAAGAATATTAGATTTGAGAAACATGGTATAATTAGTTATAATAGAGATTAGAGCATTCTAAATAGTTTATTAATTATTTGAGAATTTTATACACGAATATAACTGATCACATATATCCATCAGACTCACCTCCACGTCTCCATTCCCTCCCAAGTACAAGTGCAACCCCCACTGACTCTTCATCTCTACTGCCCTTGTACTCCTTATTGTGGTAGGCCATCCACTGGAACTTGTTCCACCCACCATGGGCCACACCCTTATAGAAAATGGGCTCTCCCTCTCCCCACACCATTAGCTGTCAATAGACCCTCAGTTACGGGAGCAGGCCTTGTGAGTCCCTGGCCTCTCCATGCTAGAATACTGACTGGCTTGATTCTCTGCAGGTGCTATAGCTACTGGGTGTTCATTAGTGCAGTGCTCCTTTGACTATGGGGGAGGGGTGAGAGGGTGGAAATAGCTGAGACAGGATTTCTCTAGATAGCCCAGACTTATCTCAAACTCAAAAAAACTCATTCTGCCTCACCCTTCTGTGTGCTCAGATTATAGGCATATGCCACCGTATCTAGTTCAAGGAAAGTACCTTTGACAGCATTCTGGCCTTGGTATCTTTTTCAAATTTTTTAAATACTACCTTTTGTATGGTTATTTCCTTATGTAGCTTTTTCATGTCAATTTGAGGAGCATTGCACTAATAAACATCCAGTAGCTATAATAAACAGCTGTGTGGCCAAGTGGGTTCTCCATAGCAATGACTGGACAACCTATTTCTGGAAAAGTCTACCAGTGTCACCTAACACTAAAAATATAAGCCCTTTTTTTAGTTTTTATTGATTTTTATATTTGTTTAGTGTGTGTGTGTGTGTGTGTGTGTGTGTGTGTGTGTGAGTCAGGGAGCAACTTGCAAAGGTCCCTTCTCTCCTTCCACCACCTGAGTTCTTGGGGTTGAATCCAGGCCTTGACTTAGGCTTGGCACTGGGTGCCCTTAACTGCTGAGTCATCCTCATTAGCCCCAAAAGATAAATCGTGAGGCCCTCTGAATAAACAGAAAATAATTTATAAATGTGAAAACTGCGCTGAAACCTTAAAATCTGGAAACAAAGAAACTTCCTCCAGTTTCTGGTAGTTGTTTCATGTACTACATTAAATCTGTAATTAACATACCTGAAATATATATGTAAATTAGAATGTAATGTATTTATCATTTGTAAAATACTATCAAGCTTTAAAATTCTAATTATAGGGGATGGAGAGAGGGCTCAGTGATTAAGAACACTTCCTACTCTTGCAGAAGATCTGAGTTCAATTTGTAGCACCCATATGATAGCTCACAATTGTCTGTAACCCCAGTTCCAGGGGATCTCATACCTCTTCTGTCCTCACGGACACCAGGCATGGACATGGTATACAGACATACATGTAGGTAAACGCTCATGTGTATAAAAAAGCAAATCTATTAAAAAAAAAAAAGTAGGCCTCTTGCCTTTAATCCCAGCACTCGGGAGGCAGAGGCAGGGGGATCTCTGTGAGTTCGAGACCAGCCTGGTCTATAAGAGCTAGTTCCAGAACAGCCTCCAAAGCCACAGAGAAACCCTGTCTTGAAAAACCAAAAAAAAGTAGGCTCACTTGAGGCATAAAGTTGGTCCAGATGTGTAACAGAATTTTGGGATTTTGAGCAAGTTAGTATGGTACCATGATTATATTCTATAATCAAATATGCTGAGATTTTAGAGTAGTGATTCTCAACCTGTGGGTTGCAAATCCATTTGACAAACTTCTGTTTCCAAAAATATTTACATTATGATTCTTTTCTTTTTGTTTTTTTGAGACAGGGTTTCTCTGTGTAACAGCCCCGACTTTTCTGGAACTTGCTCTGTAGACCAGGTTGGCTTTGAACTCACAGAGATCTGCCTGCCTCTGCCTCCTGCGTGCTGGGATTACAGGACTGTCCCACCACTGGTCAGCTACATTATGATTCATAACAGTAGCAACATTACAGTTATGAAGCAGCAATGAAACAACTTTATGGTTGGGGGTCACCACAGCGTGAGGAATTGTATTAAAGGGTTTCAGCATTAGGAAGGCTGAGAACTTCTATTTTAGAGTGAAACATTTATCATATGGATTAAAGAAGGGTCCTAGCAGCTTTGTGTCCATTTAGTTCAAGTTCTGCTAGGACTTAGGATCCACACAGAGAATGGATCATCTCAGTGACAAAGAAATGGACTGTGAACCCAAGGAGATGAAAGAGAGAATAAAATGTGGAGAAACAACCAAGTGAAGCTGTACCTGTGATGTGGTCCCATGCTCAAATCTCACAAAATTGTCTGATTACATTTTTTCCTTGCCAAGAGTTCCTTTACCATTTCTCTCTTCTTCCCCTTTCTGATGATTTGAACCTGCTAGCTATCACTAGCAAATTTCAAAAACCCCAAACCATAGCTTCAGTGAAGAAGCAGTCTGTTAACCTATTCAAGAGGCCAGAGCTTGGGGTGTGGCTCAGAGATAAAATACTGTATTTGTTAACTGATGGTGAGGTGCTGGGCTCCACCCCAAGCCTCACAAAGTCACACACTGCTCTCCTCCCTCCCTGAAGCACCTGTAACTAAAAGATATAGGCAAATGACACATTTAATGGAAGTATTTAAGTTCTTCTTCTTCTTCTTTTTTTTTTTTAAGACAGGATTTCTCTGTGTAGCCCCAGTTGTCCTGGAACTCAGAGATTTGCCTGCCACTGGGCTTTAAAGGCATGTGCCACCACACCCAGCTAAGTTCTTTCTTATCTTTTGTATCTTGTTCAGATGGTCCTAATCAGTCATTTTTGAAGTTCTTTATTTGTGGGAGGAACAGTGTAAGAAGGTATGCAACACAGGACGAGAGGCCTCTGCTGACACTGTCCTTACTCCATTACCAGTAAATGTGAATGTGATGGAGTAAGTCCTACCATCTGGTTACTGCACTATGGAAACTTAAGGTACTGGCCAGAAAAGAATGCTACAACTGAATGAATCAGGTTAAAGCAACACCACTTCCTCACCAAGGACCTCCAGTTCCTAAATATAGACACAGGGTCAGTGGCGCACAGGCATTACATTTCAGTTACCCAAGGAACTTAAAAACAAAAAACAAAACAGACTTCTGGCTGGAGTGATGCTTATAATCCCAGTTACTTGAGATGCTGAGGCAAGAGGATTGCATCATCTGGTGTACACCAATTCCCCCCACCCCAAATAAATTAGAAACCAGGTTCTTAAACCTTAACCAACAGACATTCTAATCCAACAGAAATGGCTTCAGATATAGGAATCTGCATTTTTAAGAAGTTCCCAGATGAGGCCAGCCTGGTCTCCAGAGCAAGCGCCAGGATAGGCTCCAAAGCTACACAGAGAAACCCTGTCTCGAAAAACCAAACAAACAAACAAACAAATTAAAAAAAAATTAAGAAGTTCCCAGGGTTTCTGGCCAGTCCTGGCTTGTTCTTTTCCTTTCCATTACTTCTATTACACATGTTGTCTTCTCTTGTTAATTTATATAAGTTGTGGGTCTTTAAATAGACCTATTAAAGGTCTTCTACTTTACTATAACCTGTAAGGGTGAACACATTTGGAACTCAGAGGAATCTACCAAAAGAATTGTTTCTTTTTGTCCCCAGAGTATTTTCACATCTCTGGGGTTATCCCTAAAAAGCTTCCTTAGGTTTCAGGGAGCACAATCAGTAAACACCCCAGCATTTTGATCATTTCATTTGTCATAGAAGGGATGGCTGAAATACAAAATACAGGAAAGCAGAGATCGCTGCTTTGAAGGGAAGAAGTTCCTAAGAGCTTCTATTTGTAGAGTTGCTGTCAGTCAGGTCAGTGTCTAGAAGTGGGAATGTAAGACAAAATTAAAATTTGCCTCAGAGACAAATGGCTTCTGAGACAACCTCCTGGCTCAGCAAATGAGCTAATCTCACAGCTGCTACTCTGGTGGTAATGCCTGCTTACTATTTATAAACCAAGACAAAATGACAAAATGTTCTAATCATGATGCAGAATGAAGCAGCTCAAAGGCTTATTGCAGTAGGTAAAACTTTAAATGAGTACAAAGTATGATAAGTCTACATTAAAAACTAAACAGAACAGAAAAGGGAAGTTTAAAGTTTCTAAGTATGTGAAGTTAAGATCATAGAGCCAGGCTAACTTCCCAAAGGAAAGCAGTTTAAGAGACTGAAATGTAAGAAGTCCAGGAAGAGAAGGGGAGAGGACTAACATTAAAAACGAAAGGCAAGAGAAATGTATGTGTACCAAACAGTTACAAGCTAAGAACGAAACTGAGTAAAACTAAAAGGAACAAAACAAAACAAAACAAAATTAGGTAATAAGATTAATGTAGAAGATAATACACCAAGTGTTCACCAACAGATGGATAAACAGAATGTAGGTTATATAAATGGAATATTATCTCTATAAAGAGCGATTAAGTTATGATACATTGAGGAACCCTAAAAACATTAGCAAAATTAAACAAACCAAATAAAGAAAAGGTAAGTATTGTGTGCTTTTGCTCATCCAAAATATCAGAATAGGGGCTGGAGGGATAGCTCAGCCATTAAAGGCTAGGTTCACAACCAAAATATCAGAATAGGCAAATTCATAGATACAGGAAGTAGTTTATCCCCCCTAAACTGTTGGGGGATATTTTGGGAGAGGGTCATATGATAAGGTTTTGGAAACCGTGGTTACAGTTGTATTACAATACTGTGACTGAAACTGTAACACCTCTGAGTTCCATGCCAGAAGCAGCTAACATGGTAACTTTTAAAATATATAATTTACCACAGTTAGAGGAAGTCAAAACAGACTACAAGAAAGATCACTATGCAAGAAAATTATATAATAACACTAGAATATTGTTAGGTTAGCACCCTCAAGTGTAAGGAACCCCAGGAAAATAACTGAAGAGTAGAGAATACCTGTCAAAGAAGCAACAGGATAAACACCTAATTTCAAGTTAAATATGATGACGAGTAACATGACACTGATGCTTTTGAGAAGACAGAGGTCTATTAATAGTCACACAGGGACAACAGGTGTAGATGGGCCTGTCTCAGGCAAAACATAACATGATGCTATTCTCTCTATATAAGAGCAATCAGTTCCTCAAGGTTGAACCCAAGTCCATAGTCTGGGGCCTGGCAGAAGTATAATAGTATTTTCTTGAGGAACATAAGTTGTCAAAAATACACAATAGTTTTTCATTTTAATATTCAACCACATGACATTTATAGGAGTTTACGAATCATACAAGAATTAGCATATTTCTAGGTTTTATTAAGAAGTATAATTTGTAGTAATTTTAGGTATAATCTAGTAATTTTAGAAAGCTATATTTTAAAACACATTTGCAGGCACACTAAGTTCTCAGATCAACCAGTTTTTTATGAATTTACATTTTTATATACTTCATTATAGCTGTATAGAGTCACATACATTCTTTTGTACTCATACTGGCTACATATATTTGCGCCTGAAAAATCTTAAAATCAAGTTAGAATTACTGAGAAAATTAGTAATGGATATCTTACCCATTGATTATGAACTAAAATTAATATTAATGACCTACAAAGAGGTTAACTTAAATAGTCCATACCTTACATGAGAAGCTCCGACTTGGGATGTGTCTTGCTAATTCTGATATCTTGGATTTATTCTGCAGGTGATACTTTTTCAATCTTATTCTATTGTAATAACGATCAGCGAAGTTACAGTAATTCTGTTTCTGCATGCATTTCCCAAGGTGAGGAATACTATACTTCAAAGCTCGGAGAAATAATTTGGTTGTCTGCTGCATGGTGGCCAAGTCCCTGGTTTTTTGCTGCCTTCACATGGGTGATTTCAAATGTATAATTATACAGTAATGGGATCTCAGAGCATTTGAGATCACCACATCTTATCCCTTCCCTTTGGGGGTCATGAGCCCCTTAGGTTACCAATAATTGCAGACATCTGATAGCTTAGGTTAAGTAAACTGAAAAACTTGCACGAGTGAAAGTTCATTCAAAGCATACTTCTTGGCAGGTTTGACTTAAACATGTCATTGGTAAGGTCAATTTTACTAGGTTCAAGTTAAGCAGCAGTGATTCTGGTGCACATATGGACAAACTAAAACAAACAAAAAAAGAAAACAAGAAACAAAATAAAAATTTTGCAAATAAGTGGTAAATGGCCTTAATGGGAATCCCAGGAACTCTGAGGGTGATCAGAAGCAAAACAGGTTTTATCTTATACAATTTTGGGCATATCATTGGTTTATATGTGGAAGACAAATAGGAAAAGCCTGAATTAATAAAAGGAAGGAATAATATTTGCTGAGTGTTGGCCAGGTGCCAGATACTTTTTATCTATTTGTTTAATTTAAACTTCATATATTCTTGATGAAGAAGCTATAATGCTGTTCATTTTACAGGTGACCCAACTGTGGCTCTGGGAAGCTTAAGGAATTTCCCCAAGTCACTTGTTAAAGCAAAAAGTCCCAGTTGATTAGGAGTCTCATCTGGTACATGAGCTATTGAACTTAACCATAAAAGGATAAAAAAAAAATAAACCCTGCAAAATAAAATGTTGAGTCATCTTTGGTTTTAGCTGGATGGTAGTAACTTCATTATAACCTCTGCAGCCCGAGACCCAGGTTCAGGCTTTGGGCCTTTCATCTGGGGCTCAACTTCTTCCTTTGTAAAACAAAACAAAACAAAATAACCATACCACTTAACTTTCTGGGGTCGTTGTTTTGCAACAAAACCAGACAATTTGTTCAAGTACCTGGCACACAGTCACCACTCAACAAAATAATTTAGGTATGTTGCACACTGCTGAGTGTAACGAGAGACTTCTGTAACACATTCCTTGGTAGCACAGAAACACCAAGGTCAGTTTTACCACAGATCTGAGCAGCTATGACACCCCCTCCCCCTTTTAATCTATTATGTCGCAGCAAAATAACTGATCAGTGCAGCAGCAGCAGAAGCAGCCTGGAAGGAAAATGCCCCTAAATCGCTTCACTCGCTCCCCATATCCTCAGGCCAGTCACCCACCAGAAGATAGTGTTCGTGCAAGGATGGGGTACGGGTGGGGTAGACAGATGGGTGATCCCAGGAGAACCTATTCGTTTCCCTGTGCAAATGTGCATCCCAGGGATGTGGTGGTCTCAGGGTGCGAGGGGATGGCACTGGTTTCCACGCACAGAAGAGATGATAGGGATCAAAAAGGGGGACCAGGGAGGGATTCTAAGGGGAACCAGGGAATGGTACCGGTTACCATGCACAGACGAGATAGAGATCAAAAAGGGGGACCCAGGGATGAGGAATGGCTGGAAGGTGGTGGGGAGAGGAACTGGGACAGGGGACCCTCCAGCAACGCCCCCGGCCCCATACGTACGAAAATTGAAAGACAAGCCGGCTCTGGACACACACGGGTGAAAGCAGAGAAGACAAATACCAGAACCCGACGCTCTCAAGGAGGAGGTGCAGTCTGTCACCTCAGCCGCGTCCACCCGAAGTCTGCGCCCTGCACCCTGCAAGACAGACAACCTATCTCGCGCCGCCCAGAACTACTTTGCAGCACGTCGGTCTGCGTAAGGTCAACCCAGCCGGAGAGAAGCACATTTCGCCATCTTTATTATGGTCAGGAGGCGGGATTTTTCTCTTCTGGATTCACTGGACTAAAGACGACCCTGTCTTTTGTCTTTTTTTTGGTATCCTGGTGAGAAAGAGACAAGGTGAGAAAGGAGAAAACAACGAGGAAACCTCTGCCTGTAACTATGTCACGGCTCTCTCCCGCTCCGGCTTGCCCTCACTAAAGATGGCCACTAGCAAATTGGTGCAATGACGCGACGCCGCGGTCCCGGTTGCTAAGGAGACGCGGATACCGGAAATGCGGACTTCGGGGAGGGCGCAAGCCGGGGCTGTGGGCGGGAGGCCGGGCGTCGCAGGTCCTGACAGGGAAGAAGTTTGCAGGTCCTGGCCGGGGAGAGCGGCAGCGGAGGGGGGGCCGCGCGCGCGTCCGGTCAGCGCCGGTGATGGAGTCGCAGGTGGCGGCCTCGGGGGCTGCAGGGGCCGCAGCAGATGCGGGCGAGCGTTCCAGGATCGGAGGTGCCAGCCAGGGGGTACCCAAGGGGGCCGCCCGGTGGAAGCTCCTGCGACAGGTAAGGGCGAGCCAGCGCTCGCCACCTTTGCCTCTGGCCACTCCCCTCCCGGGACAGGACTTCTCCGTTTGCCGGGAGCCAATCCAGACCGGTCCCCTGGCTGCATCTGACCTGTCCTTGGGATGGGACAGCCATAGCCCAGGTCCCGGGAAACTCAGATGCAAGTGGGAAATGCTTTGGCTCGCCCTCTCGCCTGCCTGGTGGGTGGGACCGCCCCTCCTCGACGCTCGCACCCCGCTCGCTCTCTGTCCTGCCACTTTCCAGTTCGCCCTAACTCCAAGCCCTGTCATAGTCGCTGACTTCCACGGTGCACCTTTGGGTCCCCCAGCTCCGGAGATCCGCGTGGCTAGTTGTCTGATGGAATGGTGACCCCCAGCACGCGTTCCTAGGTGTCTGAGAGAGTGAGGGGAGCAGGCTCAGCCACTGCGATGTCTCTTCCCGCCGTGTGACAGTCAGATGTTTGTCTTCTAAGTTTGCAGTCATTAGTGGGGGTGCTCGCTGCCCAAGACGTCCCAGCGAATCCAAGTGTGTATTTAGGTTTCCTTGGTCATCATGTCACAGCAACAGAAAAGTAACTAAGACGGTGGCTCAGGGCACGGAGTCCTCACTGTGTTGTTTTACTTAGCCGTTGCTATTAGCAAATGACCATGATGTCATGTGTCGTGCAACTTCTTTGAACCACCTGGTAGTCTATTGATATAGGCTGTGATCACCTGGTGGTTTAACGGTGTGTACTTGAGCTGTATACCAGAATTCTTAGATCAGTTGGCTGGCATGTTCTTTCTCAGTTATGGTGGAAGTGTAAGAGAGGCGCATTTAAAATCCCGGCTTACACATCCAAGGCTTGGAGTTGGCACACCCAACATCTACCCCATGCATGGTCTGCTGGAGTGTGTGAAGGGACTGCCCTGAGGAACCACAGTTGCAGGATCTCCTTGACTCCATTATAGCAGAAAGAGACAAGGCAGCAGGAGCTTGAAGCACTGCTCACAGTGTGTTAGCACTCAGGAAGGAGAGAGCAATGGGTTAATACTTTTCCTCTATTCATTTAATCCCTCCCTCCCTCCCTCCCCTCCCCTTCCCTTCCCTTCCTCTTCTCCCTCCTCATCCATCCATCATCCATCCTCTCTCTCTCTCTCTCTCTCTCTCTCTCATGTTTTTGCTAGTTTAAGTAGGGGTTTACCCACTTGTTTATTGTTATTGTTTGTTTTGACTTTTGTATTTTTTTCTTGTTGAGAAAGAACATGAAGTTAGGTGGGTAAGGAGGTGGGGAGGATATGGGAGGAGTTTGGAGAGTATGATCAAAATATATTGGATTAAAATTTTTAAATAAAAAATTAGAAAAAAGAAATCCTCAAAATGCAATGTATGCTTATCTCAGTTAACCCAAAATATTCTTTCTTTCTTTCTCTCTTTCTTCCTTCCTTTCTTTCTTTCTTTCTTTCTTTCTTTCTTTCTTTCTTTCTTCCTTTCTTTCTTTTTTCAAGACAGGGTTTCTCTGAGGCTTTGGAAACTGTCCTAGAACTAGCTCTTGTAGACCTAGCTGGTCTCGAACTCACAGACATCCCTGCCTGCCTCTGCCTCTCGAGTGCTGTGATTAAAGGCGCGTGCCACCACCGCCAGGCCCAAAATATTCTTTAAAAAATTATTGAACTATACATATTCAAAGCTCAGTAATTACCATAGAACTGTAAAGTCATCATAATCATATTAATTACATTATTTATAATTAAACTAATTAAATATAAAAAATCAGAATCACATAAGACCTTGAGTTGCATCATTAGTTTATTTAATTTGATTTTTAAATTTAATTTGAGTTTTGAGAGAGTTTCATTATGTAGCCCTGGCTGTCCTGGCCTCACAGATATCCAGTCTCTGCTCCAAGTGCTAGGATTAAAGATGTGTGTCATTATGCTCCTTTTTTTTTTTTTGTTGGTTTGTTTTTTAATATAAGTACTCATAACTGCTTAGCTGTTATCCCAGTGTTCTAGAATTATACTTTTATTTTGATTTAATTCTAGGAATATTTTGATTTCTACTATGACTTCTTCAATGACTCTCTGGTCATTCAAATTTTTATGGTCTACTTCCTTCTGTGTTGCTGACTTTCTTTTCCAGATCCTGGATTGAATTTTTCTGCTTGTGTCTTCTTTGATATCATTATCATTTTTACTAGTAAACTTTTGAAATCTTCCCCCAACATTTTATCTAGTTCAGTATTTTTGAATTTGGTGAAGAATAATGAACTTTTGGGGCACTCATGTTGCCTTGCCTTTTAATACTTTGATGTTTCTGTGATGTAACTTGTACAACATTGCTTTGAATGTCTCTAACAGTTGTGTTTGGAGACCTCATTGAGCAGCCTACCCCTGAGGCTGCCAATACATTGACAAAGACTGTACACCAAAGACTAAGAAAAGTACTATGCAATTATTTATTTAGGGTAAATGTAGAAATACTAAGTTGATGCCAGGCTTTGGTAGCACATGCCTTTAATCCCAGTACATGGGAAGCAGAGGCAGGCAGATCTCTGTGAGTTCAAGGCCAGCCTGGTCTACAGAGCAAGTGCCAGAATAGGCTCCAAAGCTATACAGAGAAACCCTGTCTTGAAAAACAAACAAACAATCTTTTAGTTGAAGTTAGCAGCACATATGTCATGGAATAATACAGCGATGATTATCATGGCCCCCCCAAATAATTTTTTTTTCCTGAGACAGGGTTTCTCTGTGGCTTTGGAGGCTGTCCTGGAACTAGCTCTTGTAGACCAGACTGGCCTGGAGCTCACAGAGATCCACCTGCCTCTGCCTCCCGAGTGCTGGGATTAAAGGCATGCGCCACCAACGCCCTGCTTGTGAGTTGATGGAGGGGAGTTTTTATAAATAAGCAAGTCAAAATACTACTAAAAGTCCCTCAAAGAGGGTCAAAAAGAAGAAAACACAAAAGACAAGAAAACAAAAAAGAAAAAGGTTGGTCTGGGGCTGGAGAGATGGCTCAGATGCTAAGAAAACTGGCTGCTCCTCCAGAAAACCAGGTTTGATTCCCAGCACCTACATCACTGCCCACTACCATCTGTAACTCCAGTTCCGGGGGTCTGTTTTCCTCTTCTGACCTCCACAGGCAACAGGCACACACCTGGTGAATATACATCCGTGTATACAAAATGCCTATACACTTAAAATAACAATTAAAAAAAAAGAGAAAAGATTGACCAGAAATGAAAGACATTAGATGGCTATATGAAACATAGTAAGAAATAAAGACTAGGGGCTGGAGAGATGGCTCAGAGGTTAAGAGCATTGCCTGCTCTTCCAGAGGTCATGAGCTCAATTCCCAGCAACAACCTGGTGGCTCACAGCCATCTATAATGAGATCTGGTGCCCTCTTCTGGCCTGCAGAGATACATGCAAGTAGAATACTGTATACATAATAAGTAAATCTAAAAAAAAAAAAAGAAAGACTAATTGTAAAAATATTGCCAAAGAGTATGATGACAAAGTAGGCACTACAAGGTGCAAAAGAGGGAAAAAGGATGTTGGAGCAGCTTGTTTCTGGGTCCTCCAGAATTGGAGAATGCAGAAATGAGGGGTGCCGGGGTGGGGGTGAGGGGATAGTAGTGTCAGTTAGACTTCTAGGCCCTTGGTTATATACACTGGGAATGTAGCCAAATGGTCGGTTGAACTTCTAGGCTTCCGGTTATGAGCATGGGGATGCAGGAGTGGGTGGTCAGGTGAACCTTTAGGCTCTTGGTTATATGCACTGGGAATACTGTATTTTGGTTGTATTCAACTCATCACATCTATTAATGTATTGTCTCATATTCAGTTTGGCTGCTAGGTTCTACACACACAGACACACACAGATACAGACACACACAGACACACACACACAAGACACACACAGACACACAGACACACACACACACACACACACACACACATTCCAGGCTCATCTTGTATAATTCCTGCCATTTCTCCATGGGGTATCACATTATCTTAGTAGAAAACAATGTTTAGTGACAATTTGGGCACTAAGTATGCTAATTGCTACAAGTTTGCTTGTGGAACTTTTCAGTGGTGGTCAGATATAAGACAGAAAATTTAAGGCTTCATTAGTTTGTATTATCCTTCTATTTGGATGTGGAACTGTAGGGTTTTTGCTAAACTTATCAATCTTACAGCTCTATCTCTTTTCTCCATACATAGAAAACTAACACCAGTAAAACTAGTCATTTGATTTATCCTAAAACTATTTGTGCACACATGTACAAACATATACAGAGCCATATAATAGCACACCTGTTCTGGTTCTGGCTATTAAATGTGTTCCTTGTCTTCTCAGTTCCTCCAATTAACAAATGCCCAGGAGAAAAGTGGATATAAAAGCCTTGCTAAGTCAGGATTTTCCTCCTTTTTAAGATATCAGACTATTAAACTGTTACTGTCTTCACTGCTCTCCAGTGCCTTCAAGTATGCTCTTACATGTTTTGCCCATTTTTCTCCTTGTGTTCAATAGAGCCTTTGTCTGAATAATCTAATCCAGTGTTGGCTGGAAACTAAACTTATACTACGTGTATAATATAACCCCAACATTTGATTTCATTTCAAAGGTTCTGAAGCAGAAACAGCTGGATGACTGTCTGAAACATGTATCCGTGAGAAGATTTGAATCATTTAATCTGTTCTCGGTCACAGAAGTCAAAAAAAGGGAAACTGAGGAAGAGGCTGGTGTGTGGGTCCAGTACATAAGCGTCCTTTATCCTGAATACAGTATCTCCTTGAGGTGAGCGCTGTTCTGGCATTAAGCAGCCCCGAGTGCCTGCTGTGATTTGCAGCCATCTTTATTAGATCTCAGCTTTGCAATTTGATGTTGGAAAACCCTGCTGCCTTAGACAGAATCTCTTATGCTTGTGATTTCATAAACACACACACACACACACACACACACACACACACACACACACACACACGTATCAAATGAAAGCAACAACTTAAAAAAATACTTTAGGAGCCTTCTAAAAAGACAAGCAATTTGGCCCAAATCGCTTCACTGGAAGATACTCTCATTGTAGTTTAACTCATTGCTACTTTATTTCTCCAAACACCTTTTATATTTATCATACATAAATATCATTCATCATGTTGTTTGCAAGCCTGTATCCTTGCAAAAATCAACATCTAAAGATGTGCTTCTTTGTTATGTTAGTCAGTGTTCTGTTGCTGTGAAAAGACACCATGATAAGACAGCTCTTATAAAAAAGAAAGCATTCAATTGGGGACCAGCTTATAGTTTCAGAGGGTTAGTCCATGACCATCATGGTGGGAAGCAGACAGGCCTGGTGCCGGAGCAGCTGAGAGCTTTCCATCCCGATCTATGGATGATCAGGCAGAGAGAGGCACACACAGGGCCTAGCATGGCTTTTGAAGCCTCAAAACCGACCCCTAGAAATACACCTCCTCCAACAAGGCCACACACACTCCAACTAGGCCACACTTCCTAATCCTTCTCAAGCAGTTCCACCAATCTGGGGCCAAGCATTTAAATGTATGAGCCTATGGGGGCCTTTCTCATTTAAACCACATTTAACTGAGACTCAAACGTTATGCAGTGCTTTTAAATAAACTCAGCACTTTTAGAAACATTAAAAAAATTAAAAGCAAATTTTGCTGCCTTTACTGGGTCTTGCTGTGTTGTCAGACAAGAAAACAAAATTCATTTAAGGATAAAGTGGATTGCAAACAAGGGGTTCATTTAGCTATTCTCTCAGCATTTAATTATGACAAAAAAGCCAAGTTCTCTGGGGTGAAGAAGGCTGAAAGTAAAAATAGAATTTTTCCAAGCTGTACTTCAAGTACTAGTTATCTTAAAATCAAGCTTTGGTATTTTTCCCATTCATGTTTTGTCATTCTCAGAACAGAGCCAGAAAAATAGGAGAAGAACCTTCAGCTGAAAATACTGGCCTTCCGAAAAGCATACAGACTGTTGTAGTTTTTTAAATTACTTAAACAGATAAGAGAGTTGCAAACTGAAGTAACAAGATATACCACTTTTACTGAATGATTTCCCCCTCCTACTTTTATTCTGGCATTTTGCAATAATGCTGTAATTGTTTCATTTTAAAAATGATGAGAACAAGGATTACAAAATGGTAAGATGGAAATGCACAAGGCAGAATGACCCGGGCTACTGAGTAGGCCGACTGTTCCCTAGGGAGAGGGTTCTGCAGGCAGAGAGTTTGGTTGTTATCAACTCCCACAGACCATAAATGTGAGCCCACTTTCTCTGTCCCATTCTCTGTCACCCCGAGTCCCAGGCACAGCTCAACAGAGGGCACAGGGTCATTCTTTCTCCTTCATCTGTTTTTCCCACCTTACTTAAACCTCCTTGTACCTTGATTTCTAGCCCTCAATATAATACCCCAAAGAGAGTAAATAACTAAACTATTGTGAATTTCAAACTATCTAGTAGTTGTTTATATCACTGTTACATAAAGTATAAAAATTATAATTATTGAAAATTTTAGAAAATTAAAACTTTGACCATTTCTCTTCACTTAACATAATGGTACTTAAAACGAAGGAATAATGGATTTCTCATAGTAACTTTTCTTCCTTTTTGTTTTTGTTTTGTTTTTTGTTTTTTGAGGCAGGGCTTCTCTGTGTAGCCCTGGCTGTCCTGGAACTCACTCTGTACACTTGGCTGGCCTCAAATTCACAGAGACCTGCCTGCCCCTGCCTCCTGAGTGCTGGGATCAAAGGTGTGTGCCACCACCACCCAGCTGTAACTTCTCCGGAACGGCAAAGTTCTGGGCTGTTAGACCATGGGTTAGAGTGTGAAATCCCCAGGATCTGTTGTCAGGTTTGTGCATCGAGAGTGGTCCACTGTTTGGAAATAGTTGAGACCGAGGAATGAAAAGAGGACATTGCTCCTAGACTTGTCTCTCTGGTGCTCTGGTTCTTAGAATGCTATATACACAGTGTTGCTGTTAGTTAGAGGCATATAGAAAACCACAGCAGACCGGAAGGTGCCTTCCTTAAAAGTACTTTCATTAAAAGTTGCCTCCACCCTGTGTTATAAGCTATGATTCATTATTGCATAGAGCTTACTGTGTAGATACTAGGTATTATTTCCATACCTTATTTTTGTTTTTATGGTTTTTCGAGACATGTTTTCTCTGTAGTTTTGGTGCCTGTCCTGGAACTCGCTCTGTAGATCAGGCTGGCCTCGAACTCACAGATTTCTGCCTGCCTCTGCCTCCCAAGTGCTGGGATTAAAGGTGTGTGCCACCACCTCCCAGATCCATACCTTTTTTTTTTTTTTAACTTAATTTCTCTATGGCCAAATTTAGGTATTTTGGAAGGTTTAATATGCTTCCATTATATGTGGAACCATATATACCAGAGCTATTAATTTATAAATGTTTGAATATCTTAAGAAGCACAAAAGCTGAGAGGCCTGACCTGTCCTGATGTCTTTGAATTTGACTACTGTTGCTATGGCAATTGCTGAATTGGAGGGCTAGCGCTTACCTTTTGTCTTGCCCTAACAGTGTAGGGTGGGCAAGAAGTCAAGAATGTGGCTTTGCCTGTGTTGCTTTTTAGTACACTAAATGCACCACCAGGAAATCCCAGGGAAAGGAAAAGACAAATGAAACCATTACACTACTGAAGTTGGTGTGAGCCTTCTGAGTGCCCAGTCCGCTGGTGACAGGAATGATTTGTTCATGCGATTGGATGTATGGTAGATTATCCTTTCATCCCTGGCATGTTGTAGGTACCAACTTCAATACCCATCCCCTTTAGAAAACTGTAGTATTTGGTGGATGCGAAGTGACATCCAGTGTGGTTATTATTTGCATTTCCCAGTGATAATTTCATGGGTATTAGCCAGTGCTGAGAGTAGAGGCAAGGGAAGGTATTGAGTTGTGGTAGTGGTGAATATGAACAAAATATATCAATATACATGAGACATGTGTGACACTGCCATAATGAAACCCATCATTTTGTGCAGCAACTAAAGAATTGATTTAAAAGCTGGCAAGGCAGGGGCTGAAGAGATGGCTCAACAGTTAAGAGCACTGACTGGTCTTCCAGAGGTCCTGAGTTTAATTCCCTGCCCCTACATGGTGTCTCACAACTTTCTATATTGGGATCTGATGCCATCTTCTGGTGTGCAGACCTGCATACAGACAAGATGCTCATATACATAAAATACTTAAGCAAATAAATCTTAAAAAAAACAAAATAAAATGAAAAAAAGGGCAAGACTGGCTACTGAACAAGTATGATTACTAAATTTATTTAAATATGTAGTTTTAATATTAGGAATAGAATTAATAAGAGGTATAAAATAACATTTAGTGTCTTATTTTAAAGTCTTTGTAATACCTTTAAGCTATCCAGTGTGTTGGGAAAACACAAGTTCATTGAGTCATATTTTCAAGTAACATGACATAGATGTTAGCTAATTATGACTTAAATTTCTACTGTATCTTAACTCCATTCATGCTTGCTTATGTAGCTTGCTTACGTATAAATATTCTCAGTTTCAGTAAATTGGAATAGGTGCCTAGAATGTTTTCAAGTTTATCTACATTCCATGGAGGTATCAGCTGTTTCCCTATAACGAAGAAAAGACTTTGAAAGCCATTTATTTATTTAGAAAAGCTTCAAAGTGAATTGCATGTACAGTCTGTTGTTACATATTTTCCTTCTGAAAACCTGTGCTTTTTTTTTTTTTTTTTTTTTTTTTTTTTTTTTTTTTGTTCTTTTACAGTCTTTTAGGGCACATTCCACTCTGTGGTTTACTTTTTCTGTCTGTTAATCAAGATAAAATTCAGTGCCCGTTTATCACTATAAAAAGGGTTTTAGCTGGGTGGCAGTGGCGTACACCTTTAATCCCAGCACTTGGGAGGCAGAGACAGATGGAGCTCTGTGAGTTTGAGGCCAACCTGGTCTACTGATGGAGTTCCAGGACAGGCTTCAAAGCCACTTAGAGAAACCCTGTCTCAAAACACCAAGAAAAAAAAAAAAGGGGAGTTTTAGTGCAGTTTTTTTTTTTTGTCCCTTCTTAGTATATTCAGTGTGTGTGTGTGTGTGTGTGTGTGTGTGTGTGTGTGTGTGTGTGTGTGTCTTATGCAACCCTGTCATTAATCCCAAAATTAAGAAAATACCCATTGTCAGCAGCTTCTTTTCCCCTAATATCTGGCAGCCTCTGATTTGCTTCTTACTTTTGGAGATTTGTTCTAAACATTTCATATAAGTGGAATACTACAATATGTAGGCTTTATGTCTGGCCCTTTTCACTTAGTATACTAGTTAGTTTTTTAATATTTATCCAAATTCTACCATGTTTCAGAAAGTTATTAATTTTTCTGTGTCTGTGGAGAATTACTATGACACTATATGGTTAATAATGCACTTTCATACTCACTCATGAGCTAATGGACAATTTGAGTTGTTTCTATTTTTTGACTGTTAAATGTAATGCTACTGTGGCTTTTCATGTGTACTTTGTGTGCATCTATGAACATATTCTTTTAATCTCTTGGCATGTAGCTGGGAATGAAATGTCTAGAAAACGTAGTTGCTACACTTTTAGCATTTTGTGGCATGGCCAAACCCTTTTTCATAGTGGCTTTTTAACATTCTTACTAGGAATTGAATGGGAATTCAAAATTTTCTTCATGTTTGTTTGCACTTGTTTTTTTTTTGTTGTTGTTTTATTAATTAATTTGTGTATGGATGGTTTGTCTGCATGTATGTCTTGTGCACTACATGTAT